CAGTAAAGGCAACAGGTCATAAGAATTGCAGCTTTTACAAGCTCTTTTAAGATATACCCCCAATGGATACATGCATGTATTCATTGAGGGCATATCTACTAAATAGTGAATTATACTTTTTGCCCACTTGAGCAGTAGAGTGTTCCCTTAAGACCCAAAGCAAATTCTCTCAAAAAATATACATGAAGCCCCAGTTCACCCTTTCAAATACTTTCTTGGCATGAATTGACAGCAGGAGAAATGGTGTTCCACCACTGATGCGTCAAGTTCAGTACCCAGAAAGTATTATTCAGGACCTCTCTACGAGGCATAGAGCCTTAGATTAGATTAGAGTTCAAGGTTCCCTTAAAAAATAGAAATAGGACTAAAGCTAGAACAAATCACTGGGTCATTTTCCTCTTTTGACAGGAGCGTGATAATAACATAGGTAAAATGAGCAGAGGAAAAAGCTCCATCCAAAATGCAATTGAGAATTTCCAAAAGTAATGGGCCTAGTCCATTGTCAATGTGTAGTATCAACTGGTAACCTCCCAGGGTCACCATCATATAAGTATGCCAAAAAATCTTGAGAAATGTCTGACAGGAGTTCGTTTATGCCACCCATGGATCTTTTGCTTTCAAAATGTATAGTTGTGTTCAGAAATGGTGTAGAAGTTGTGACAATTTTATATGGTCTTTATCACCCTATTCGCACAGTTAATTGTGCTGGCAGTAGGAATGTTTGAGGATGGTATTTATATAGTCTGCTAATTGACCCCCCTTGGAGAGGAACATAGTATAAACCTCATTGTTCCCTGTTCATTTGTGTGTCTTTTTCAGGTCAGCAATTTCCAGGTTAAGGTTGATAATGAAATGAGCATGCTGCTCAAAGTACCAGTAAATGGAAGATTATGCTAGATTTAGTGTACTAATAATAGTGTAATAGTGTAAGAGAGAGTAGAATATGGTAATATTCAAGTATAAAACTTGCAGAACCTCTTGGACAGACAGGATGGGCTGGTATCAGAGGCGGCCATGTTGGACTACAGAGAGGAGGCCAGAAAGGAGCTAGCTGTGGAATGAAACCCTGGAGAGTGTACAGCATTGGTGAGATGAACATTGTGACGGAGCTGTCTGTAACCTGGCTGGGTACCTCTGCCGACGGATACTCCTAGTGCTTCTCAAGGACCATCAGCACCGCACCAGACTCCACAAACTGCCGTAGCCTGGTTGAGGTCTCGCCGTCTCCTTCCAACCCTGGTCCAACCTCTGGATCCAGGACCGTGTGGGAAGGACCTCCAGGAGAGTATAGCTGTATAGCTGAAGAGAGCTCTTACAAGAGCTAGCAGTGATATAGCAGCTATAGCTGTTCCCTACAACACAAGACGAGGCTGCGAGTTGAGGATAAAGAAGGTCTGGTTTATTGAGCAAAATGCATTTCTTTTATACATATTTTCAGGCCAGGGACAAAAAGAACATAGACCAATAGGAACAATAATTATTACTGTAAAACTCCCACATACAGTCAGTAAGCCCTCACATTTGCCTGTGATATAATCAAGATAGCTAGTGGAATAATTTAATTATCCACAGGCAGAAAATACCAATTTTTACCCAAAGTTCAGAAACACCCCAAAACTCAAACACATCCCCATAAATTATACATCCCTGGATAGCGCTGATGTGGGTGAACATCATATCCAAAAATTACCCAGATCAGAGCAGGGATTCAAAAGTGCCATGGAAGTCTCTTTTGACCAAATGCATGCATGATTTCATGCCCAAAACAGTTCCAGAGAATTTGGCTGTGCGGCCGGTCTATTTCCAATACTAAGTTCCGTTCGAATGCACGAATGGGGGCCGTTCGTGCAAATAACCAATCTTAAAGTGGTGTTCAGATTGTCGAACACTGTTCGACTCCCGAAGTTTTGAAGTTCCAGAGAAGGTAAAGTTCAGTGGTGTTCGTGCCATTGCGTGTCCGATTTGAGTTTCATGAACTCGATGACAAAACACCGCTGAACACGGTCGACTAAACAAAATGGCTGCCGCAACCACGTGTTCGAATGGCGGCCACTTCGACGACTTCAGCTGTATCCGAAGTGCTATTTCGACTACTTAGAAAGTTTAAAGAGCCATTGTCCAGAATCCCAATAGGCAGAAAGAGTGCCTTAGAACAAAATAAGTCACAGGGGCCATAGTCAAAAGGTAAAAGGCTAACAAGTAGTCCTCTCCAAAACACAGTGGTGAAGTGCAATTCGTCACAAATGTCTTCCCAGCAGGCAGCAGCGACTACAGGTCCGAGTGGCAATGGAGATGCCTCTTCTTTGTGAGCAACCCCGGGGGGAGTGGGTGAAGACACTAGAGATACTAGTGTGGAGGGAACTGTGCTTTGGTGACACATACCAGGTGCTACGGTGGTACGCTGTCCAGCGTGTTCCTGAGATGGTTACGAAAACCCTGAGGGTGAGGAATACAATGGCCCTAGCCTGTTCTGGGGAATATTTTCTGACCCAGACTTTGGGAGTTCTACAGAGTCCCACTTTTGGGACATCCAAGACTACCGTGAAGCCATACTGGTTCTCCCTAACGCGACCAACCTTGAACCAGACCTGATCCATCTGGTCACCCGGGAATGGGATCTGGAGCAAGATTACCAATACCTGCTCAGCTCCAGTCAGTCCCAACATACCCTGGAGGTACCGCAGGAGAGCAAGGTGGCAGATCCAGGACTAGAGCCCTTCAGCTGGGAAGACCCCCAGATGATAGGTGGAGATGGGACCGAGGTCTCTCTACCAAGGCTGCCACAAATCACCTCATCGCAACCGATGAGGTGATTTGATCACAATTTTTCGTATTCCTCCAAACTCTCCCCGAGGTGGCCAAACGACCTACTAAACCCCTACATTCCAGGATTTAATTGCTGGCACCCGCAACACTCTCTGCCAATGCCCCCTGTTCATGAGCTCTGGCCATTTTCATATATTAGTCTTATATACCCATCATTTCTTATATGCCACCATCCATTGTATATGTTTTCATTCCTTTATATGTGATCATCCATTGTTTTTTCCCCCCATTTACTGTTCTAGTTCCTTTTCTTTTGAGTATAACTTTTTTTATTTTTGAATTTGAATCTACTTTATTCCGAATGTCCCATTTTCTTAATTTCTCAAATTTGTCCTACACTAAGAGTGTTAGAGCCGTTTTTGCTTTACTAACCTTTTTGGACCGTGTTGGCTTCAGTTGGAACCTCCATTTTTGTGAGTGCATTTAACTTATTGTTCTAGTTCAGGCCACCATAGATCCCTCCGCCTACGGTTGGCGACAGACATGGTTGGCAAATTATTAGGTAGTCTCCATAACCATATTGGACATTCTGTTTTGGAATCCTTTCAGGTGTATGTGACTATGGGTCTATTGCTGCACTTATCCTTATTTAGCTATATTGATTATTTTTCCCTTCTCTTTTACTTTTTCTTTTCTTGTTTCTTTCTCATTGATGAACTTTTTTAATTTTTAAGGAATTGAATAATTATAAATGCACTGGAATATGTATATTTATGAATTTGATGTATAATTTACTTTTTATTTAATTGATACATTTTGCACATAATTTGTCAATTGTGATTAGGGTTGATACCCTTTAAATAGGGTACTGTCGCTGAGGTAATAGCTTGATAAAGGCCTCTGTGTAGGCCAAAACATTGCAGCAATCCTGAGTTACCACTCGTTTGACTGGCGACACACACATTTCACCCTACCTAGGGGTTAAAATAACCTCCTCTTTTCAAAACCTGGTAAATGCCATTATATCCCACTGGTTCAGATTTGTAAAACAGATTTCCAAAAATGGAAACAAGTTCCTCTACCTTGGCTTGGAAAAATCAATACAGTGAAAATGAAGATTCTCCCGAAGAGATTATATATCTTCTCGATGCTACTAATTCAAATCCCTCTTTGTATATGCAAGCAACTTCAAAAACTGTTCTGGCCCAATTTGTTTGGGACAAAAAGAGGCCCAGACTGCCCTTGTCTCTGCTCTAACAACAGTCCTCCAATGGAGACCCCAACCTACTAATTTACTATAAAGAAGCTATCCAGGAGGCAGCATTTCAGTGGGTCGATATGTAGAGCAGTCAGGCTCCAGGGCATGCCTTGATTAATATTGTCTAGACTCATAGAAACCTTTGGCCCAAATCCTTAAACCTATACGCTCTTAAAATGCTGACATTACATATATGGGACCACATAAAAGACTCCTAGGAGACCAACCACAAATTTAACCCTAAGGCACTAATTACAGCACTTCAAGCGATCTCGCCTTGGTTCTCACTGAGACAATGGTGTAATCTAGGAATCAAACATATAGGAGACCTAAAGCATTCTCTCCAGTCACGTCTGTCAGCCAAGAACACTAGTTACTTCCCCCAAAGACAGTATTCATCTCCTGCATGACAGATGCAAACACGTCCCTGTCAAACCTAAAAACTTGTCTTTATGCTACAATACCCTCATGGAATGCAATCCAGGGATGCCATTTAAATATATATCATAATGGGCAGCAGAATTTAACCAAACCCCTGTTGGCCCTCAATGGACATCTTCACTTACAGCTATCAAAGATGTGTTATTCACACACAGAAGCACACAAGAAATTGATATACCATTGATACTCCTAGTTGCTTACATAAAATCTACCCCAATGTCCCAACACATTGCTGGAGATGATGAACAGTGGAAGGGACAATATACCACATCCAGTAATCCAACCACTTTGGACAGAGGTCCGCGGCCTTAGGGGTGTGCAAGCTGTGCGGCCGCACAGGAAGCCATGGAGCAGGGGGCGCCATGTGGCCGACACAGCTCACACATAGCCGGCCAGGATTTTAAAAAAAATTAAATAATTTTGTGGTGGGGCGGAGCTTCCCTTGCAGTGAGGGCAGAGCTAAAAGTGCAAGATAACTGCTGCAGGGGAAGCAGGAAGGAGTCCCTGCTTCCCCATCAAACAGCCTCCAGGAGCTGCCTGTCTGCCTTCACAACGAATAGAGGTAACTATGTGTGATTGCCTGTGTGAGTGTGACTGTCTGCCTGTGTCTGTGTGTGTATATGACTGTCTGCCTGTGTGTGTGTGTGTATATGACTGTCTGCCTGTGTGTGTGTGTATATGACTGTCTGCCTGTGTGTGTGTGTATATGACTGTCTGCCTGTGTGTGTGTGTATATGACTGTCTGCCTGTGTGTGTGTGTATATGACTGACTTCCTGTGTGTGTGTGTGTGTGTGTGTGTATATGACTGACTGCCTGTGTGTGTGTGTGTGTGTGTGTATATGACTGACTGCCCGTGTGTGTGTGTGTGTGCATATGACTGACCGCCTGTGTGTGTGTGTGTGTGTGTATATGACTGACTGCCTGTGTGTGTGTGTGTGTGTGTGTGTGTGTATATGACTGACTGCCTGTGTGTGTGTGTGTGTGTGTGTGTGATGACTGACTGCTTGTGTGTGTGTGTGTATATATATGACTGACTGCCTGTGTGTGTGTGTATATGTGACTGACTGCCTGTGTGTGTGTATATGACTGACTGCCTGTGTGTGTGTGTTTATGACTGACTGCCTGTGTGTGTGTATATGACTGTATGTATAAAACTGTATGCCTGTATGTTTGTATGACTGTCTGCCTGTGTGTGTGTGTATATGACTGTCTGCCTGTGTATGTATGTATATGACTGACTGCCTGTGTGTGTGTGTGTATGTATATGACTGACTGCCTGTGTGTGTGTGTATGTATATGACTGTCTGCCTGTGTGTGTGTATGTGTGTGTGACTGTCTGCCTGTGTGTGTGTGAGTGACTGCCTGCCTGCCTGTGTGTGTGAGAGTGACTGCCTGCCTGTGTGTGTGAAAGTGACTGCCTGCCTGTGTGTGTGAGAGTGACTGCCTGCCTGTGTGTGTGAGAGTGACTGCCTGCCTGTGTGTGTGAGAGTGACTGCCTGCCTGTGTGTCTGTCTGCCTGTGTGTGGCTGTCTGCCTGTGTGTGTTTGGATGTCTTCCTGCGTGTGTGTTTGTGACTGTCTGCCTGTGTGTGTGTCTGACTGCCTGTATGTGTGTGTGTCTGTGTGTATGACTGTCTACCTGCGTGTGTTTGTGTGGCTGTCTGCGTGTTTGTGTGGCTGTCTGCCTGTGTGTGTTTGTGTGGCTGCCTGCCTGTGTGTTTGGATGTCTTCCTGTGTGTGTGTGTGACTGCCTGCGTGTGTGTCTGTGGCTGTCTGCGTGTGTGTCTGTGACTGTCTGCGTGTGTGTGTGTGTGTGTCTGTCTTCCTGTGTGTGTGTCTGTGTATGACTGTCTGCCTGTGTGTGTATGACTTATGACTGTCTGCCTGCTTCTGTGTGTGTGTGGCGGTCTGTCTGCATGTATGTGTGTGGCTGTCTGCTTGTGTGTGTATGTGTGTGGCTGTCTGCTTGTGTGTGTATGTGTGTGGCTGCCAGTGTGTGTGTGTCTGTGTATGATTGTCTGCCTGTGTGTGTGTCTGTGTATGACTGTCTGCCTGTGTGTGCCTGTGTCTGTGACTGTCTGCCTGCGTGCGTGGGACTGTCTGCCTGCGTGCGTGGGACTGTCTGCCTGCGTGCGTGGGACTGTCTGCCTGCGTGCGTGGGACTGTCTGCCTGCGTGCGTGGGACTGTCTGCCTGTGTGGGTCTGTGTATGACTGCCTCTGTGTGTGTATGACTTATGACTGTCTGCCTGCTTGTGTGTGGTTTGCCGTCTGCCTGTGTGTGTGTGGCTGTGATTGTATGTATAAAACTGTATGCCTGTATGTTTGTATGACTGTCTGCCTGTGTGTGTGTGTATATGACTGTCTGCCTGTGTGTGTTTGTGACTGTGTGTATGACTGTCTGCCTGCGTTTGTGTGTGTCTGTCTGTGACTACCTGTGTGTCTGTGACTGCCTGTGTGCGTTTCTGTGACTGTCTGCCTGTGTGTGCGTGTCTGTGTATATGACTGTGTATATGACTGTGTGCCTGTGTGTGTGTGTATGACTGCCTGTGTGTGTGTATGTGTATGACTGTCTGCCTGCGTTTGTGAGTGTGTGACTGTCTGCTCGTGTGTATGTGTGCATGACTGACTGCCTGTGTGTGTGTGTGCGAGTGACTGTCTGCCTGTGTGTGCGTGTCTGTGTGTATGACTGTGTGCCTGTGTGTGTGTGTATGACTGTGTCTGTGTGTGTATGACTGTGTCTGTGTATGACTGTCTGCCTGCGTTTTTGAGTGTGTGACTGTCTGCTTGTGTGTATGTGCGCGTGACCATCTGCCTGTGTGTTTGTGTGGCTGGCCACCTGCCTGTGTGTGTGTGTGTGGCTGGCCGCCTGCCTGTGTGTGTGTAGCTGGCCGCCTGCCTGTGTGTGTGTGTGTGTGTGGATGGCCGTCTGCCTCTGTGTGTGTGTTGATGGCCGTCTGCCTCTGTGTGTGTGTGGCGGAACCAACCTCGCCACTGTCCACTGGAGAGGCCTGGTTGCTCGCCTGCTCCCTTTAGACTATGGTCCTGCATTTTAAACTTTTATTTTACCGGCAGAAAGGTTTATTCGTGCCTTTCTGTGGACTGTTAAAGCCATGCTACCCCAGATAGCTATGCCATGGAGCCCAGCCGTATACTGAAAGACTGTATGAAAGACTTTGGCTCCATGGCGATTGAACTGTATGTATGTGATCTGAGCGCCATTCGGTAATAATGTACGCTCAGATCTGTGCTATCTGTGGATATGTAGAATGTCTATGTTTTATGGAATAAATGTAACTGTATGTAATTGTATGTCTTTTATTGTATTGTTACTGCCATGTGGTTAATGGAGTTTTGCCTCTGTCCTGGGAGATAAGTGGATTACTTCCCAATTATCTCCAGGACAGAGAGGAGGGATTGTGATGTAATTGTGGGTGTGTTTTACAGTTCTCCTGTAAACGATTGGTTGTACTGTGTCCCACCCTGTGGGATGTCTCCTTGCATGGGGACTTGCATAAAAGCCAGTGTGTGGCCATTACAGTCAGATTCTGCTTAACCCTCAAACGAAGTGTCGTCTCGTTATTGGGGGAATTGGATTGTATGCTGACTGCCAGGAGTGTAAACCTTTCGTATGGTTTTTCCTGTTCAGCTGTTTCCAGTATTTGTGAGTTTCCTGTTCAGGAGTTGGAGAATTCGTGTAGTTTGCAGTTCGGGAGATTGGTGCTTGCAGTAGCTGTCTGTGCATCTGAAAGGGGAATATCGCCTAAACGGTTTTTAACCTCTTGTGTGCAAAATGGTCCGTTACACTGTGTGGATGGCCATCTGCCTCTGTGTGTGTGTGGATGGCCGTCTGCCTCTGTGCGTGTGTCTGTCTGCCTGTGTGTATGTGTGTGGGTATAAAACTGTATGTGTGGCTATGTGTGTGTGTGTGTTTATCTACCTGTAACTGTGTGTTTCTGCCTGATGTGTATGTGACGATCTGCCTGCGACTATGTGCATGTGGTGAATTTGACAGTGTATATGTATAACTGTGTGCATCTGACTGTGGGAATGTGTGCACATAACTCTGCAAAAATATACACCTGCATTCACACACAGGCCTAAATGCATGTTTTTATCTGAATTAAATAACCATCACACACAGCACAAATATCACATACAATCAATACACGCATTTCACACACTGTTAATACACCCATTACAAATATCACACAAAGCCAACACACAGCATACATATCACACACGGTCATCACATCTATCACATACACAGACAACACAAACATTACATCATACATGATGGATGATGGGGGGGGCACTGTGAAGATTTTTCGCACAGGACGCCTAAAGGCCTAAGGCCGGCCCTGATAGCAGTAACATGTGGCATCTGTTTGTTCCTCATATTTACAGCCAAACCCTAGCCCATAAACAAATAGTTGTCATTACTATCTTGGCAGCCCATAACCTGATTGTGTCCTCCTGGAAAGTGAACTTTTGCCCCATAGCAAGCCAATTCATAGACAAGACACACCAATACCATCTGTATGAAAAATTATCCGCCAACATACCAACGCAACTTTCACACATACAATAAACTTGGTTCTTATGGGTAACCTTCAAAGACAAAGGAAGAGCGCATACTCACCATAATTGACTCATCCACCGCACTCACTTACCCTTGCTTGCCCCATGCTCAACAATGCCATAGCACTCAAATGCACTTTCATAGCACAGACGGGACACAGATGACTTGGGATGACAACCTATTCCATTGAGGTTACTTCATCCATCGTATTTCATTTAATTTTTTTCCCCCTGGCTCCACTCTCTCCTCTGGTCCCCTCCTGCAAATGAGACCCCTCAAGTACTGTGAAGATGAGGACACAAACAAACTTAACAGATAATTTACATGCATTATTAGACAAAGTTTAGAAAAACGTATAACTCCCCTCCTCCCGCCCCCCCAAATAAACATTTTTCCTCTTAGTACAGCTAGTTGACAACTGTATTACTTTGCAGTAATAGACCAAAGGGATTGTATAGTCACAACTATGTTGTGTCTATACAATGTCCCAACACATTGCTGGAGATGATGAACAGTGGAAGGGACAATATACCACATCCAGTAATCCAACCACTTTGGACAGAGGTCCGCGGCCTTAGGGGTGTGCAAGCTGTGCGGCCGCACAGGAAGCCATGGAGCAGGGGGCGCCATGTGGCCGACACAGCTCACACATAGCCGGCCAGGATTTAAAAAAAAATTAAATAATTTTGTGGTGGGGCGGAGCTTCCCTTGCAGTGAGGGCAGAGCTAAAAGTGCAAGATAACTGCTGCAGGGGAAGCAGGAAGGAGTCCCTGCTTCCCCATCAAACAGTCTCCAGGAGCTGCCTGTCTGCCTTCACAACGAATAGAGGTAACTATGTGTGATTGCCTGTGTGAGTGTGACTGACTGCCTGTGTCTGTGTGAGTGTGACTGTCTGCCTGTGTCTGTGTGTGTATATGACTGTCTGCCTGTGTCTGTGTGTGTATATGACTGTCTGCCTGTGTGTGTGTGTGTGTATATGACTGACTCCTGTGTGTGTGTGTGTGTGTGTGTATATGACTGACTGCCTGTGTGTGTGTGTGTGTGTGTGTGTGTGTGTGTATATGACTGACTGCCTGTGTGTGTGTGTGTGTGTGTATATATGACTGACTGCCTGTGTGTGTGTGTGTGTATATGACTGACTGCCTGTGTGTGTGTGTTTATGACTGACTGCCTGTGTGTGTGTATATGACTGTATGTATAAAACTGTATGCCTGTATGTTTGTATGACTGTCTGCCTGTGTGTGTGTGTATATGACTGTCTGCCTGTGTGTGTGTGTATATGACTGACTGCCTGTGTGTGTGTGTATATGACTGACTGCCTGTGTGTGTGTGTGTATGTATGTATATGACTGACTGCCTGTGTGTGTGTGTGTATGTATATGACTGACTGCCTGTGTGTGTGTGTATGTATATGACTGTCTGCCTGTGTGTGTGTATGTGTGTGTGACTGTCTGCCTGTGTGTGTGTGAGTGACTGCCTGCCTGCCTGTGTGTGTGAGAGTGACTGCCTGCCTGTGTGTGTGAAAGTGACTGCCTGCCTGTGTGTGTGAGAGTGACTGCCTGCCTGTGTGTGTGAGAGTGACTGCCTGCCTGTGTGTGTGAGAGTGACTGCCTGCCTGTGTGTCTGTCTGCCTGTGTGTGGCTGTCTGCCTGTGTGTGTTTGGATGTCTTCCTGCGTGTGTGTTTGTGACTGTCTGCCTGTGTGTGTGTCTGACTGCCTGTATGTGTGTGTGTCTGTGTGTATGACTGTCTACCTGCGTGTGTTTGTGTGGCTGTCTGCGTGTTTGTGTGGCTGTCTGCCTGTGTGTGTTTGTGTGGCTGTCTGCCTGTGTGTGTTTGTGTGGCTGCCTGCCTGTGTGTTTGGATGTCTTCCTGTGTGTGTGTGTGACTGCCTGCGTGTGTGTCTGTGGCTGTCTGCGTGTGTGTCTGTGACTGTCTGCGTGTGTGTGTGTGTGTGTCTGTCTTCCTGTGTGTGTGTCTGTGTATGACTGTCTGCCTGTGTGTGTATGACTTATGACTGTCTGCCTGCTTCTGTGTGTGTGTGGCGGTCTGTCTGCATGTATGTGTGTGGCTGTCTGCTTGTGTGTGTATGTGTGTGGCTGTCTGCTTGTGTGTGTATGTGTGTGGCTGCCAGTGTGTGTGTGTCTGTGTATGATTGTCTGCCTGTGTGTGTGTCTGTGTATGACTGTCTGCCTGTGTGTGTGTCTGTGTATGACTGTCTGCCTGTGTGTGCCTGTGCGTGGGACTGTCTGCCTGCCTGCGTGGGACTGTCTGCCTGCGTGCGTGGGACTGTCTGCCTGCGTGCGTGGGACTGTCTGCCTGCGTGCGTGGGACTGTCTGCCTGTGTGGGTCTGTGTATGACTGCCTCTGTGTGTGTATGACTTATGACTGTCTGCCTGCTTGTGTGTGGTTTGCCGTCTGCCTGTGTGTGTGTGGCTGTGATTGTATGTATAAAACTGTATGCCTGTATGTTTGTATGACTGTCTGCCTGTGTGTGTGTGTATATGACTGACTGCCTGTGTGTGTGTGTGTGTGTGTATATGACTGACTGCCTGTGTGTGTGTGTGTATATATGACTGACTTTCTGCCTGTGTGTGTGTGTATGTGACTGACTGCCTGTGTGTGTGTGTGTGTGTGTGTGTGTGTGTTTATGACTGACTGCCTGTGTGTGTGTATATGACTGTATGTATAAAACTGTATGCCTGTATGTTTGTATGACTGCCTGCCTGTGTGTGTGTGTATATGACTGTCTGCCTGTGTGTGTGTGTATATGACTGACTGCCTGTGTGTGTGTGTGTATGTATGTATATGACTGACTGCCTGTGTGTGTGTGTATGTATATGACTGACTGCCTGTGTGTGTTTGTGACTGTGTGTATGACTGTCTGCCTGCGTTTGTGTGTGTCTGTCTGTGACTACCTGTGTGTCTGTGACTGCCTGTGTGCGTTTCTGTGACTGTCTGCCTGTGTGTGCGTGTCTGTGTATATGACTGTGTATATGACTGTGTGCCTGTGTGTGTGTGTATGACTGCCTGTGTGTGTGTATGTGTATGACTGTCTGCCTGCGTTTGTGAGTGTGTGACTGTCTGCTTGTGTGTATGTGCGCATGACTGACTGCCTGTGTGTGTGTGTGCGAGTGACTGTCTGCCTGTGTGTGCGTGTCTGTGTGTATGACTGTGTGCCTGTGTGTGTATGACTGTCTGTGTGTGTATGACTGTGTCTGTGTATGACTGTGTCTGTCTGTGTATGACTGTCTGCCTGCGTTTTTGAGTGTGTGACTGTCTGCTTGTGTGTATGTGCGCGTGACCATCTGCCTGTGTGTTTGTGTGGCTGGCCACCTGCCTGTGTGTGTGTGTGTGGCTGGCCGCCTGCCTGTGTGTGTGTAGCTGGCCGCCTGTGTGTGTAGCTGGCCGTGTGTGTGTGTGTGTGTGGATGGCCGTCTGCCTCTGTGTGTGTGTTGATGGCCGTCTGCCTCTGTGTGTGTGTGGCGGAACCAACCTCGCCACTGTCCACTGGAGAGGCCTGGTTGCTCGCCTGCTCCCTTTAGACTATGGTCCTGCATTTTAAACTTTTATTTTACCAGCAGAAAGGTTTATTCGTGCCTTTGTGCGGACTGTTAAAGCCATGCTACCCCAGATAGCTATGCCATGGAGCCCAGCCGTATACTGAAAGACTGTATGAAAGACTTTGGCTCCATGGCGATTGAACTGTATGTATGTGATCTGAGCGCCATTCGGTAATAATGTACGCTCAGATCTGTGCTATCTGGGGATATGTAGAATGTCTATGTTTTATGGAATAAATGTAACTGTATGTAATTGTATGTCTTTTATTGTATTGTTACTGCCATGTGGTTAATGGAGTTTTGCCTTTGTCCTGGGAGATAAGTGGATTACTTCCCAATTATCTCCAGGACAGAGAGGAGGGATTGTGATGTAATTGTGGGTGTGTTTTACAGTTCTCCTGTAAACGATTGGTTGTACTGTGTCCCACCCTGTGGGATGTCTCCTTGCATGGGGACTTGCATAAAAGCCAGTGTGTGGCCATTACAGTCAGATTCTGCTTAACCCTCAAACGAAGTGTCGTCTCGTTATTGGGGGAATTGGATTGTATGCTGACTGCCAGGAGTGTAAACCTTTCGTATGGTTTTTCCTGTTCAGCTGTTTCCAGTATTTGTGAGTTTCCTGTTCAGGAGTTGGAGAATTCGTGTAGTTTGCAGTTCGGGAGATTGGTGCTTGCAGTAGCTGTCTGTGCATCTGAAAGGGGAATATCGCCTAAACGGTTTTTAACCTCTTGTGTGCAAAATGGTCCGTTACACTGTGTGGATGGCCATCTGCCTCTGTGTGTGTGTGGATGGCCGTCTGCCTCTGTGCGTGTGTCTGTCTGCCTGTGTGTATGTGTGTGGGTATAAAACTGTATGTGTGGCTATGTGTGTGTGTGTGTTTATCTACCTGTAACTGTGTGTTTCTGCCTGATGTGTATGTGACGATCTGCCTGCGACTATGTGCATGTGGTGAATTTGACAGTGTATATGTATAACTGTGTGCATCTGACTGTGGGAATGTGTGCACATAACTCTGCAAAAATATACACCTGCATTCACACACAGGCCTAAATGCATGTTTTTATCTGAATTAAATAACCATCACACACAGCACAAATATCACATACAATCAATACACGCATTTCACACACTGTTAATACACCCATTACAAATATCACACAAAGCCAACACACAGCATACATATCACACACAGTCATCACATCTATCACATACACAGACAACACAAACATTACATCATACATGATGGATGATGGGGGGGGCACTGTGAAGATTTTTCGCACAGGACGCCTAAAGGCCTAAGGCCGGCCCTGATAGCAGTAACATGTGGCATCTGTTTGTTCCTCATATTTACAGCCAAACCCTAGCCCATAAACAAATAGTTGTCATTACTATCTTGGCAGCCCATAACCTGATTGTGTCCTCCTGGAAAGTGAACTTTTGCCCCATAGCAAGCCAATTCATAGACAAGACACACCAATACCATCTGTATGAAAAATTATCCGCCAACATACCAACGCAACTTTCACACATACAATAAACTTGGTTCTTATGGGTAACCTTCAAAGACAAAGGAAGAGCGCATACTCACCATAATTGACTCATCCACCGCACTCACTTACCCTTGCTTGCCCCATGCTCAACAATGCCATAGCACTCAAATGCACTTTCATAGCACAGACGGGACACAGATGACTTGGGATGACAACCTATTCCATTGAGGTTACTTCATCCATCGTATTTCATTTAATTTTTTTCCCCCTGGCTCCACTCTCTCCTCTGGTCCCCTCCTGCAAATGAGACCCCTCAAGTACTGTGAAGATGAGGACACAAACAAACTTAACAGATAATTTACATGCATTATTAGACAAAGTTTAGAAAAACGTATAACTCCCCTCCTCCCGCCCCCCCAAATAAAAATTTTTCCTCTTAGTACAGCTAGTTGACAACTGTATTACTTTGCAGTAATAGACCAAAGGGATTGTATAGTCACAACTATGTTGTGTCCAAGATTAATTTCATGACCTACTCTACTGTACAACATTCCACTGTAAGTGCCTTAACATGATGCGATGTTCTGCAATTATGTCTGATGTGCATTCCCTAATGCCCCTTTACTTCTTTCTGTACACCCGATTCATTGAAAACTTCAAAAAAATTAAAAACACAAAAACATGCACACTGATTTCTCCTTCCTCAAAAAAAGGAAGCCACACACATATGGCTCAGGTGATTACTGCATATAGACCAGCTCTCAAAACTGTTAATATGGCTGGGAGCTAAAACTATCAGGTCATTAAGCAGTTCTAAATCTATGGGTTAAACTGCTAATCACATTAAAGCGGGTGAATAGTTTGCACATCAGCCCATATTGCACATGAGATAGATCTTCATATTATATAACCATTACTAACTTCAATGGGCCTTGTCATAAATATGAGATGCCCTTAGGCAGCCACTTCGTGTTTGCATGTTGGACATAGGCTCTGGAACTATGAATTTGCTTTTCTATATTCACCATCGCTACGTGAAAAATGAAGTGGGGGACTCAAAACCGATAACCGCCCTAAGGATCCGTGGGTGAAGGCAACTTTAGGTACATTGAGCTTTTGATAAGAAGACTCCATTAGGTCTCTTGAGCTAAGCTCTGTGCAAGGATAGCTAAATGGGTGGGAGTGTCAGCTGATCACTTTCAGCCAATGAGCTAAGCCCTATACCACCAGGTTTAGCTTAGATAGAGAGCTTCTAAGTCTCCCTGGCGTGGTAGTGGAGGCAGCGAGCAGTGCTTGGCAGACCACAGGTAAGAAGTCAAAACATTATCAGCAGTTTGACTCCTTTAATGGGGGGAGGCACCAAGGTACTCCTAGCACCATACCACTGAACTGTGGTGGTTATGGAGCTTGAAATATTCCTTTAATAGCGCAGTATAGTACTGAAAAAAAAATAGGTATAAGGGCAATGAATAGAATTATATAATGTACTTTTAATCAATTGAAGATTATGAACATTTTGATGGGTATTGATTTTATGAATATTAGAATAACAAACATGCAAATTTTTTTTTATTGAAATGCTATTTTATTTAATGATGAAAACAGAATTCAATTATTAGAAAATAAAATATTAAAATCTTATTAGAATCATTAAATTATGCTGAACACAATACAAAGGCAGAATATGAAATCCAGTTTATTCGGATACATTTTAACAACTCATTTCATATAACACATCGTTTTTATTTGGACACAGGAGTGTTCTTTTAACCTATTAAAGACAAACCATACCCCTGACCATACCCACCAGAGAAAGAGAGCGAGAATAGACAGTATTACCTAGAAATAGGATCTAACCTCATCTGCACAAAGGCCAATTTTTTTCTCCTCCTTTAATACTCATACTTTTTTATTATATATAGTGTGGTTGGGTTGGCTGAATGAGGCGAGTGTATATGGGTCTGCGTAAATGGGATGGCTGTGTATAGTGATTGATGTATGTGGGGATTGTGACTGAGGGTTCCTCATAAACACATTTTGCAAACCATTCTTCTATTCTGGCACTCACTGAATAAGTCACAATATTGCCATGGCAACCAACTTGAAGCACTGATTCATTCACTGAACGCTGGGACTGCATGGAAGCTTTAAAGTGGTAAATAGCCGCCGGTGATGCAGACTACTGTCAGTATATTTATATTGGCAGACATTTTGTGCTAAAACAGAAATTAAAAGTGTATATTGCCAGTCACACTTAGAACAAGGCTGACTCCATTTTTGTATTTTCAGGCAAGACAGACACAGAATTTCTTTCTTTCTGTAACTCTATTCATTCAAGTCTGAGCTAAGAAATGTGTTATGTAAACAAGATAAGGTATGGTGTCTCACAAGGATGGGGGAAGGAATACTAACCCAAAGACATATATATATATATATATATATATATATATATATATATATATATATATATTCTATCCACTTATAACTTACTATTTTATATTATCATATATAATGAGTATCATGTTAATAATATAGACTATTCATGAAGAAATATATTAATAATATTAGTAGAATATAAATAATCTTACACACAGCTTCACACAGATAACACTTTGTAAGATTTAGAATGTAAAATTAATTACCGAGTCCCATTGTAAGTAAAGGGTGAAATTAAGGTTAGGAGGTGTCAATTCTAGAATTACGATTCAAATTATAGACACGAAGTCTGGGATAAAACTGGAAAAGCCAAAGAAAATGCTTTGAAGTGACATGTCCTGCGATTTGTAGCAGGCATAAAGATAGCTGGAAATGATGTCAAAATCATCATCAAATTCAGTTAACCCTTTATGCATAATGGCAAATGGACCCCATGATAAGAAATTTTGCGCCATCTACTGACCAAAAACTAGATGATAGTCTGTAGGGAAGACGCACCCACAGTTCCCTATTGGTCTTATCAATTAAAGGAAAACTCCAGTGCCAGGAAAATAATCAGTTTTCCTGGCACTGCAGGTACCCTCTCCCTCCCACCTTCCATCCCAGGCAGCTGAAGGGGTGAAAACACCATCAGGTCACTTACCTGAGACCCCGCCAATGTCCCTCGGCGGTGATTTCGGGTCAGCGTCGCAACTCCCAGTAATCACGTCAGCCGGTGGGCGAGACTGATCCCGTCCACCAGCTGAGGAAACCTAATGCGCATTCGCGGCAATGCCGCGCACGCGCATTATGTCTCCCCATAGGAAAGCATTGAAAAAGATTTTCAATGCTTTCCTATGGGGAATTGAGCGACGCTGGAGGTCCTCACACAGCGTGAGGACGTCCAGCAACGCTCTAGCAAAGAAAATCTTTGCTATGAGTCAGGAAGTACCCTCTAGTGGCTGTCTACTAGACAGCCACTAGAGGTGGAGTTAACCCTGCAATGTAATTATTGCAGTTTATAAAAAACTGCAATAATTACAATTGCAGGGTTAAGAGTAGTGGGAGTTGGCACTCAGACCACTCCAATGGGCAGAAGTTGTCTGGGTGCCTGGAGTGTCCCTTTAATGACGTACAGAGAGTTTGGCCCTTTAAAAAGTAAGGATGAGGGAAGAGAGGGACATTCAAAGATTCATACATTTGGACATTTTGGGACACTCATACTCTTTGAGCCATACTCAAACTCTCTTTGAAACACTTGGACTATACTTAAACTATCAACTCTCTCTTAAACACACCTAATTAATAATAATTTATATTGCATACAATCACAATCATACTTGCATACAAATTCCTGGGACCTATTTACACATCTGATAAGAATATCTACACATCTGAGAGAAAATCTACAACCTAACTGGTAATTATGCTGATTTTATTTAATTAAATTAATTAAAATTTTACTTATAGCAGGAATATATATTTGGATAAATCTTAGTTAGCTAAGAATATATGGTTATATATGGTTATAAAAATTCCATTCCTGCAGGTGGAATAAAGATAATATATTAAAGGTAAATTTACCAACAAGTTAGCATACCAATGTTTTTATCCAGATGTATTGATTTGTTCTTAACCCCTTCCCGACCGAGGACGGTTCAGGACCGTCATCGGCATTTTTGGCTTGCCGACCGATGACGGTCCTGAACCGTCCTAATGGTCTGAGTTACTTACCTGATCGCCGTCGTTCCCCCGGCGGCGATCAGCGTGGCTCCGGTTGTGGGGAGACTGCCTGCAGCCCAGACAGTCTCCCCACACTGGATTAGGACCCCTGGGGCCATGTGATCGCTCAACACAGCGATCACATGGTCACAATAGGTGTCCATGTGTCTGCCTGCAGGGGGACTGCCTGTGCTGACAGGCAGTCTCCCTGCTAGTGTAAAATTAAAAAAATAAAATAAAGTTAATGTTAATTAAAAATAAAAAAAATTATATATGTGTATATAAATATGATATATAGACATTATATTTAAATAATATATGTCTATATATCATATATATAATGTCATATTAAGTGTATTTTTATATTAATATGTAATTATATTAATATAAAAATACACTTATAATTAAATTACACACGTATATATATAATATATATAATAACTATATATATTGTATATATATATTATAAAATATAAATAATAAGTAATTTAAATTAAATAATTTTTTTAAATAATAATACAAATTAAAAAAAAAATATATATCTATATGAAATTTTATTCTAACTGTATTTTAAAATTAATATATATATATTTATATCAAAATACACTTAGAATGAATTTGTATATATATCTATGTATATAAAAAGAAATAAAAATAATAAGAAATATACATATGTCCATATACAAAACTACATAATTAATTATATAAATATACACGTAGACTTCAAATATATAAATATGCATATATATTTAAATTCTACGTGCGTATTTATGTAATATTTTTACATAATTCAGTAATTTTATTGATTGCAATTTGAGGGACCTGCCTGCCAACCCAGGCCGAAATTCCAGAGAATTTAATTTGCTAGCACTGTATTTTACCCTGTAACGTTCTACGACACCCTAAAACCTGTACATGGGGGGTACTGTTTTACTCGGGAGACTTCGCTGAACACAAATATTAGTGATTCAAAACAGTAAAACATATCACAGCGATGATATTGTCAGTGAAAGTGACTTTTTTGCATTTTTCACACACAAACAGCACTTTTACTGATGATATAATTGTTGTGATACGTTTTCCAGTTTTTAAACACTAATATTTGTGTTCAGCGATGTCTCCCGAGTAAAACAGTACCCCCCATGTACAGGTTTTATAGCATTTTTGAAAGTTACAAGGTCAAATATATGGGTCAAATATTTTTACATTGAAAATGGCCAGGTTGGTTACGTTGCCTTTGAGAGCGTATGGTAGCCCAGGAATGAGAATTACCCCCATGATGGCATACCATTTGCAAAAGAAGACAACCCAAGGTATTGCAAATGGGGTATGTCCAGTCTTTTTTAGTAACCACTTGGTCACAAACACTGGCCAAAATTAGCGTTCAATTTAGTTTTTTTACTTTTTTCACACACAAACAAATATGAATGCTTACTTTGGCCAGTGTTTTCGACTAAGTGGCTACTAAAATAGACTGGACATACCCCATATTGAATACCCTGGGTGGTCTACTTTAAAAAAAATATGTACATGTGGGGTGTTATTCAGAGATTTATGACAGATAATAGTGTTACAATGTTACTATTGATAAATTTTAAAAATGTATGTTTTGAAACCGCAATATCCTACTTGTACCTATAGCCCTATAACATGCAAAAAAAAAAGCAAAAAAGCACGTAAACACTAGGTATTTTTAAACTCAGGACAAAATTTAGAATCTATTTAGCAGTTTTTTTCATTCGCTTTTGTAGATGAGTAAAAGATTTTTCAAGTAAAAGTCAAAAAACATGTATTTTTTTCAATTTTTCATCATATTTTTTTATTTTTTTTAAAATTAAAATACATGAGATTATATAAATAATGGTATGTAAAGAAAGCCCCTTTTGTCCTGAAAAACAATATATAATTTGTATGGGAACAGTAAATGAGAGAGCGGAAAATTCCAGCCAAACACAAACACCACAAAAGTGTAAAAATATGCCTGGTCGCAAATGTACAACATCGCAAAAACAGTCCAGTCCTTAAGGGGTTAAATAAGATAGTGTATCTTATGTAGGAAAATTAAAATTCGGCTAATGTAAAATCTGGTAGATTTATTCTTATTGGATGGTTCCAGGAATGGTTAATGATCTGATATGAACATTACTTTAACAGTAAAAATTACAACATAATTGGATATATATTGCCTATGAGGATTGTAGCCAGTGTGATTTAACTAACACAAATCAGTAATAGGAGCAAACCCAGTGAACCACGCATGGACAGCCATTTCATTGTTAATGCAACTCATCAGAATGAGGTTGGTTACTGGCTTGCTATGCCATGCCTCCACAGCAAGCCAGTAACCAACCTCATGCTGATGAGTTGCATTAGCCAAGCCTCCATAGCCTCCATTAACAATGAAACAGTTGTCCATGAGTGGTTCATTGGCTTTGCTCCTCTTCCGGAGTTGTGTTTCAAAGCCGTTGTATACAGCAGACACATACTCCAAGGAATCCATGTATAAAGTGCAATGATGAAGCAAAAATGTGGTTCTTTGTTGAGCTAATTTGCATACGCCTACCCAGAATCCCTAACAGTAGTGAGAGCACTGTTAAGGGTGAGATTTCTGTGGGAAAAGCAGGTCTTATGGCTTGACTGGTGTGTGTATTTGTGTTTAGCAATGTATTAACTATCCACTTACGTCAGTGTGTGTGTGTGTGTATATATATATATATATATATATATATATATATATATATATATATATATATATATTTTTTTTTGTGGTCGGGACATACTAGCCGAAAGAGTATAAATATGCATTCATACTATTCATTTAAGTCGGTTAAAGTGTGCCTGAACCGACGAGAGGTGAAGCCTGAAATAAAAGAGGGCAAAAGAGATAATATGTAAATCAACCTTTATTTGAACACTTGTTAATATCACATTACAAAAGGCCAACCTAACTTCTTTCTCAGTTTGTGGCACATACTTGCAATAGACCGAAGAGGTCCACCGACCCATGTTTTTTAAGATGTGTGCGGGAGTATTGTGGCTAGATGCTGCTGAAGTGGCTCCTATGCGAAAGGAGTGGCCTGCAAATGAGGTAGGGTTGAGGCCAAGTGTAACCAATAATGTTCTAGTGTATAACATGAATTTTTGAGTTGTAAGCAGATTGTCATGAATTGCCAGTAAAGTGAAATTAGATTTAAGACTATGTAGAGAATGTTTTAATAAATCAAACACTTTGACAGAGCACCATTTATTACCTGTAGGATAGAAAGGTATCTGGACTGGGTGTCCTATTTGACTAGTTTTAGCATGTTGTAAGGATAATATATGTGATTGTGATTCTTAACTAGTTCTGAAAACGTCAGGCATAGTTTAAGGTCAGAAATTTTGTTTACAGTAAACTCTTTAGGTGTTAAGAAACCATAAAAAGCCAGATAAATAGCAGCTTTGAGTATTAAGTTGGTATTTGGTTCACAAGGAGCTGAATCCAATAAGTCCGTAAGGCCCCGGAACTTACTACTATCAATAGGTAGTTTTTGTGGAGGAGTTTCTATTTTTAATTTTAACATGCCTTTCAAGACACTTTTTATAGGGTATGACGCTAGAAAAGGATTATTATTAGGGAAGGTGATTAACATGTGATGTTGTGAGGAAGCTGTATTGTGACTGAGGCTTCCTCACAAACACATTTTGCAAACCATTCTTCTATTCTGGCACTCGTTGAATAAGTCACAGTTTTGCCCTGGTAACCAAGTTGCAGAACTCTGATTCATTCACTGAACGCTGGGACTGTTCTCCAGAGATTCTAAACGGTTAATAATCGTATTAACGGATGCCGTAAGAGAGGACATCATACATTATTGTCGTTTTGGGCTTTCATTAAACGGAATAACTCCTCTTTCCTAGCAGTAGCAGGAGAAGAAATTTTTTTCGCTTTAATTCAGCTGTGATTTTAGGAATAGTCCAAGATTTGTAACTTGAAGCTGGACTAGGAGGGTCGTTAAGTCTGCCAGGGAAATTTGTCCTGGCAGGAGTGCTTGGAAGGGATAAGTCGTGACCCTGGATTGGAACGTTAGACATGCTATGAGGAAAGAAAATGGAAATTAGTAACTAACTACCAACTGGCAGCCTAGTAAGAATGCCAAGTGGCAAAATTATATTATGGTAAATGGGGCGAATGAGGCCCTGATAGTTTGCCCAGCGGCTTGAAAAGCTCTATCTATGATTTGGCCTGAATGGGTAAAGGGAACCATAAACTTATATGGCAGGGTGTTGGCCTCTCGATGGTATCTATAAGATTCAAGATAGAATGGACTGTTCGGGCATGAGACCTAACTATGCAACATGCAAGACAAATAACTGCGATACGGGCCTATAACTGAATCGGACTCCGATACGAAGGAAATTCTAAGGAACACTAAAGAAAATAAGGAGGAAGAAACCTGAAAATACTATTTGGACTAGTATTAACCTAATGAGCTAGTTCCTACTAAATGTGTTCAACAACAGATTAACCAAATATATATATCTGAAACAAAGGAATAACAACTTCCTAGGCTTCTGGAAAAAGATGGAGCTTGTTCCTAAAATATGAAAACATAAATTGCCCTTTGAGACAACCAAAATAGGTGTCTACCATTTAAAGTAACAAATCCCATATACTAGCCTTAGTGATCTAGGAATTCATGCAAATAACACCTGAAAAAGAGAGGGCCTAATGGCAACGTTTTGGCCTATATCTGTGATTCTGCAAAAAAAATAAAAAAAGTAAAACACAGTCATAATGATAAACCCCTCAGCAGAAGTCGTCATAAGGGTCAGAGTATGAAAGCTAAACGAAACGTATCAGAATATGCTAGCAGAACCAACTGTCAGTTTGTAAAGGTAGCTTTGAAAGAGACACACCAGAGGCCTGGTGGACAACCTGAGCTAAATGAAACGTATGTGTATGAGAATGGATACGAAATATAGAGCAAGAGATTTGAGCTGCAAGTATAGAAAGCGTTTGACTGGTCAACATTGAGTCTGAGAGGTAGAATAAAGCAAACAAAACAATCAACCTTTTTTTTTTTTTTTTTACTGGAATACTCAATTAGCCGTAATACCAACACAGAGCACTGGACTCTAAAGGTTAACTTTTAAAATGTAACATTTATTTTTGAAGGATGTAATTTGTACAGTTTTCTATAACAATGTATTGTGAGGCTGATACATTAAGTAATTCGCTAGTACCAGCAACTTAATAACGTGATGTAAAGGGGAGATCGAGCCTCTCTACAGTAGCCGCCCAAATGCTTATGAAACTAAATTATTGTTAAACACAAAAATTGATATTTAGCCTAACCAAGCTTATTGTACTCACGATCTTCCGAACGCTGTCTCTCCAAAACCGTGGGAGAATTCAAGCACTGTGGAGTGTGCCGCAACACTAGTTCCCCCAGCTGCTGAAGGGAGGTAAGCTCCAAAGGCAGTGTAGCCGTGCTGAGCGGGACTGCGACCCGAGCACCCACATGTTCCGGTGCTCACCGTTGCGTTCTGGGTGGTCTTTCAGCCGTGAAGTCGGATGTCAGGTTAGTATACCGGCCGTGGCAGCGAGGGAATCCAACTTCAAAGTTCCGTCCGAGAGCTGGGCTAAACAAACTGCGGCACGAGCTGATCCAGTGGATTGCACAGCACGTAGCAACAGACTGACACACCTCCCACCTCACGCTACAGGTAAGGGGAGGTATTGGTAGGGTTTTTTTTATAGGGACTAAATCCCTCCCACAATTTCAGGTTTCTATATTATATAATATATATATATATATATATATATATATATATACATATATATATACACACACACACACACACATACATACACACTTATTTCTAATATGTGTAGAATATATTATAAAATGTTTTAATTATTTTATAACTACATGTATAATATATGTATTTGATTTTTTTTTTTTTTTTTTACTTTTTAGGTGTCAGGGGGACTGCCTGACAGCTCAGACAGTCCTCCTGCAGGCAACTCCATAAATTTCTATTGTGGCCATGTGATCTTGGTGATCACATGGCCCTGGAGGGCTGGAGTGGCCGGAGCTGCTGCAGGGGGACTGCTGGGGTCTCTGGCAGTCCCCTCCGACCGGGATTGCCGGTCTAGGTAAGTGTAGCACTCATCTTAATCAACAGTTTTTGTCGGACATACCTAGTACGTCCGCGGTCGGTTAATGACTTCATTAACTAGGCATAAAAATGTTAGGGCAAAGGGGATTTAGGGTTTGAGAATGATTCATTTTAGCATTAGTTTGCATAGGGCAAAGAGTTAAGAGAATTAAACACTTGAGAAAGTTTATAATTGTCGGATTATTTGGTTTAGAGTGAGGTTAAATTAACTATTTGGATACAGTGGGTGTTTCAACTTTCAGAGGGGTTAAACCTAAGATTAAAGGGAAACTATAGTCACCAAAACAACTACAGCTTAATGTTTTGGTGTCTTCAGCCTGTCTCTGCAGATATTAACATAGAATATTAAAATGTTAAATGTTTAATGCTAGAACAAAATGCAAATGACAAATTACTTTAAGCACGTTTAGATGCATTTAAGTTAAAGTTTAGGTTAAAAAAAAATAAAATAAAAGAGTATAACGCACACAATAAAAACAGGTGGAATAATTCCTGCAGGGTGCTCCAGAAAGGCACAATCCCTGAAGGCATCAAATGGAAGACAGGAAATATTCAGGCATACCTGAGGTTTCTTCTAAAAGGCAGTCTTTTTATTTGACTTTAAGAAGGCTATCTCCACGTTGTCTTCACTTTCTTGTTTCAAATAAAAAGACTGCCTTTTTGAAGAAAAGAAACCTCGGGTGTGCCTGGTTATTTTTTTTCTTCCATTTGTATAAGTTAAAGGGATGCTCTACACCCAAAACACTTTATCTCACAGATGTGCTTTAGGTGTGAAAGGTGTGTCCTCTTTTCTTTTTCTTTTACAAAAAGTGCAGATTTCAATGGAAATAGGCATTTAAAAAAAATAAACAAACAATGTTACAGGCTGCAGACAAAAGATATGCAGGTTTTGCAATTGTTTTTGATATAACACCAATTAAAAATGCATAATTAAATGCATGTTTGTTTTAATTGGGGGTTTATCTGCTAAACAGTGGTTTTTATTTTGTATTTGAGCAGTGGAATTTAAAATCTAAGAGCACAAAGATTATACCACAGTATAGTTGCACTAGTTTGGAATAAAATTTCTTTCTCCTCATGGACGCACCACCCGGGCAAAGCTGCAGCCGCCTGAGGCTCTCTACAGAGCGCTCGGGCGGCTGCAGCATGAGCGGGGCCGGCGCTCCTGGCGGCGCCCCCTCCCAAGGGGCGCCCTAGGCGGCTGCCTAGTCCGCCTTACAGGTAGCGCCGGCCCTGTGTGATACTTATTTGTAATACTTCTTTAATTGGAACTCAACTGCAGAAACAATAAGTTTCACCTCCTTTTATATTGAAGTGAACAAGGTTAACTGTATCTTTAAATACACATGCAGGGAAGAAATGCAATGCTAGTTCCAACTTAATTAAGATGGAATGATTTATGAAAATTATGTTAATGAAGCTGGACAGGCTTGCAATTAGAATAAATTGATATTTGCAGGAAGAATTAGACTTAGTAGCAATCCCTTATTGACAAGAGAGAATTTTAGTGAAATTTAAATACTGTATAAATTAATTAATATGAATTGGTTTCCTTGGCAAAAAGGTTTACTTAACTTAGAGGCAGTTCTGGCAATGGAAGGGTTAATTCACCCAATGGAGGAGAAATTAGGAGTCTCTATTAATAAGCTGAGCGTTAGGAGTGGAGAGTAAGGAAGTCCGTTTTTACTAGCCGAGGTCTGGGAGTGGAGAAGGTAGAAGTCCGTTTTTACTAGCCGAGGTCTGGGAGTGGAGAAGGTAGAAGTCCGTTTTACAAGCCGAGGTCGAGAAGTGGAGAAGGTAGAAATCTGTTTACAAGCCGAGGTCGGGAGAGGAGTGGAGCCGGTAGCATCAAGTAGAGCAGCTGATCTCAATGCAGCACCTGAGTGAATAATCCAGCCCTTTGAATCTGGCGCGGTCTTCCTAAGTATCGTGGAAGGACCGCGTCAGAGAAAGGGGCGGGGCTAAGCGCCGTGAACCCGGAAGTGGGTTCCGGCGGCAGCATGAATGATAGAGTATACCTGACAGTACCCCCTTCTCATGGGGCATCCTCTGGGTGCACTTACTTTGGTTTAGAGGGATAGCGTTTGTGAAAAGCATCAACTAATCTTTTTGCATGAACATTAGATGAATCTTCCCAAGTATCTTCATCAACTCCATAACCTTTCCATCTAATAAGGTATTGTAAGGTGCCACGGTGGACACGTGAATCCAAAATCTTGTGTATTTCATATTCTTCTTCACCTTGGACGATGATAGGTTCAGGAGTTGTAACTATTTCTCTATGAAAAGGATCAGGGATGTGTGGTTTAAGAAGAGAGACATGGAATACTGGATGAAGTTTAAAACTTGGAGGAAGTTTTAATTTAACAACGTTATCATTGATAATTGTAATTATTTGAAAAGGACCAAGAAAAAGAGAGCTCAATTTCTTTGAAGGACGGTTTGTGGTAATATTTTTTGAAGAGAGCCAGACAAGATCCCCTACTTTGTAAGGAGGGGGAATTCTTCTTTTATTGTCAAAAAACTTTTTCTGGTAGTTTTGAGCGAGTTGAAGATTCTCCCGTAATTTGAGGAATAGAGAGGACATAAATTCATTTTTTGATGTAACCGTAGGATTGGATGAAGTAATAGTTTGGATGGGAAATGAGGACGGATGAAAACCATAGTTGGAGAAGAAAGGAGTCATTTTCGTACTAGAATGAATGGTATTGTTGTAAGAAAATTCAGCCATAGGTAACCATGTGGTCCAGTCATCTTGCAGGTATGAACAATAACATCGGAGATATTGTTCCAAACATTGATTAACTCTCTCTGTTTTCCCATTAGTTTGGGGATGATAGGCGGAAGAGAGTTTGCGTTGAATTTGAAGAGAGAGACACATCTCCTTCCAGAATTTGGAGGTAAATTGTGTCCCCCTATCAGAAATAATTTCTTCTGGAAGACCATGGAGTTTTATAATATTATCAATAAAGACTTTGGACAATTCTACGGAGGAGGGTAATTTTTTTAAAGAGATGAAATGGGACATTTTTGTGAAGCGGTCCACAACAACAAGAATAGTGGTGAAATGTCGAGATGGTGGAAGGTCAACGAGAAAATCCATAGAAATGGATTGCCAAGGTTTTTCTGGAATGGGTAAGTTAAGTAGTAATCCAAAAGGTTGATTATGTTCAGATTTGGACCTTTGACAGATAGGACAAGTTTTGACATATAATTCAATGGTTTTATCTTGGCGAGGCCACCAATAATATCGTGAAGTTAGTTCAAGAGTTTTCTTTATTCCAGGATGTCCAGCTAGGGGTGAATCATGAACCATCTTAAGTAATCTGTTCCTAAGAATGGGAGGAATATAAATTCTATTTTTAAAGTAAAACATACCATCCTGTTTTGTCAAATTAGGCGTTTTGGGAAGTTCAAGATCCTTGTGATTCAAATTCTTTATGTCATCCTGAAGAGAAGAGAGGATCCCTATTATTTTGTTAGGGGGATAAACATCAATAGTAGTTTTAGAAGGAATTCGAGAAAGAGCGTCAGCCTTTTTATTCCTAGTTCCAGGTCTGTATATTAATTGGAAGTTAAATCGGTTAAAAAATAGGTTCCATCTAACTTGTCTAGCCGTAAGGGTTTTGTTAGTATAGAGATATTCAAGATTTTTATGGTCTGTATAAACTATTATAGGTTGTTTTGTATCTTCTAGAAGATGACGCCAATTTTCGAAGGCAGCTTTAACACTTAATAATTCTTTTTCACCAATAGGATAATTTTTTTCAGCAGAGCTCAAGGATCTTGAGAAGAAGGCAACTGGATGAAGTGGATCTTGAGGAGTCTTTTGTTGAGAAGGAACTGCTCCGATAGCTGTATCTGATGCATCGACTTCAAGGACATATAAGAATGTTGGATTAGGTAGTTGTAGAATAGGTGCAGTTGTAAATCTTTTTTTTTAATCTGTCAAAGGCAGCTTGTGCATCTTTACACTACTTGAAAGGACGTTTTGTACTGTTAAGAAGGTTAAGTGGATGAGATACCTCTGAATAGTTTCTAATAAATTTCCTATAGAAGTTTGCAAATCCAAGAAATCGTTGCAATTCTTTTGTAGTAGTAGGAACGGGCCAGTTAATAATACAATCGATTTTGGAGTTATCCATTTTCAGAGAATGAGGTGAAATAATGTATCCAAGAAAGGAGAGTTTAGTAACTTCAAAAAGACATTTCTCTGGTTTAGCGTATAATTTGTGAGTTCTCAGTCTAGATAGAACCCATCTTACATGCTTCCTATGTTCATCCAAATTGTTAGAATATATTAAGATATCATCTAAATAGATAATAACACAGACATCCAAAAGATCTCTAAAGATATCATTTATAAAATGTTGAAATGTTGCAGGGGCATTACAAAGCCCAAAAGGCATCACTAGATATTCGTAGAGACCATATCTAGTCCGGAAGGCGGTCTTCCATTCATCATCCTGTTTTATTCTAATGAGGTTATATGCTCCTCGGAGGTCGAGTTTAGTGAATATAGTTGCAGTCCTTAATCTTTCAAGTAATTCATTTATTAGAGGAAGAGGATAACGATTTTTTATGGTTATTTTATTTAAGGCTCTGTAATCTATAATGGGACGGATGGTTTGGTCCTTATTCCTCACAAAGAATATACTAGAGGCAGCCGGGGAGGTCGAGGGTCTGATGAATCCTTTACGTAAATTTTCATTAAGATATTCTTTTAAGGTCTGCAATTCCTTTTCAGAAAGTGGATAAATGTGACCATAAGGAATAGGAGCACCGGGTATTAGATCTATTGGGCAATCATATACTCGATGAGGTGGAAGTGTTTCCGCTTCTTTTTTACAAAAGACATCTGCAAAATCAGAGTAGAATGGAGGTATAACTGATTCTTGAGTAGTTTGGAGAATAGGAATATGTTGTAAGCAGGTTTTTTTACAAAAATCAGAAGAAAAGGAAACGGAGAAGGGTGACCATTTAATTAGAGGATCATGGGTTTTTAACCAATTAATTCCTAGAATGACAGGATAAAGTGGAGATTTAATAACATCAAATGTAAGAAATTCGGTATGTACGTTGTTGGTAATCATTCTTAGAGGAATTGTCTCATCTTTTATGGGTCCTGAGGATATTCTGGAATTAGATGTTCTTTTGGTGGAGAGTTCTGATGTTTAAATCAGCAGTAGCCTGTTTATAAGGATCTTCATATAATAAAGACATAGCTTCAAAGAATTCATCCAATGAATCTAATATGGGATCATCATTCTCTAAAAAGGAATGAGCCCATGCCATAGGTTCACCTCTTAAAAAAGAAATTACTGAACAAACTTTTGATCTTTCAGTGAGATAAGATCTAGGTTTTAAAGCTATCAGAAGTTTGCAAGAATTCAAAAACTCTCTGTACTTTGTTCTATCTCCATAAAATTTTTCTGGATTACAGACAGCAGGATCACCAGCCGATTGAAGAGCGGCATGAGGAAGATGGCCTTGCATGTCTCTAACATAGGTTAATATTCTCTCATTCGTGATTTGCAGTTCCTGTAACCCTTGAGCAATCGTATCCACTCTATTGGTTAGGGCAGAAACTTGTGAGTTAATATCTGCTGGTTCCATTGAAATAGGCTGGATTATTCTGTGATACTTATTTGTAATACTTCTTTAATTGGAACTCAACTGCAGAAACAATAAGTTTCACCTCCTTTTATATTGAAGTGAACAAGGTTGACTGTATCTTTAAATACACATGCAGGGAAGAAATGCAATGCTAGTTCCAACTTAATTAAGATGGAATGATTTATGAAAATTATGTTAATGAAGCTGGACAGGCTTGCAATTAGAATAAATTGATATTTGCAGGAAGAATTAGACTTAGTAGCAATCCCTTATTGACAAGAGAGAATTTTAGTGAAATTTAAATACTGTATAAATTAATTAATATGAATTGGTTTCCTTGGCAAAAAGGTTTACTTAACTTAGAGGCAGTTCTGGCAATGGAAGGGTTAATTCACCCAATGGAGGAGAAATTAGGAGTCTCTATTAATAAGCTGAGCGTTAGGAGTGGAGAGTAAGGAAGTCCGTTTTTACTAGCCGAGGTCTGGGAGTGGAGAAGGTAGAAGTCCGTTTTTACTAGCCGAGGTCTGGGAGTGGAGAAGGTAGAAGTCCGTTTTTACTAGCCGAGGTCTGGGAGTGGAGAAGGTAGAAGTCCGTTTTACAAGCCGAGGTCGAGAAGTGGAGAAGGTAGAAATCTGTTTACAAGCCGAGGTCGGGAGAGGAGTGGAGCCGGTAGCATCAAGTAGAGCAGCTGATCTCAATGCAGCACCTGAGTGAATAATCCAGCCCTTTGAATCTGGCGCGGTCTTCCTAAGTATCGTGGAAGGACCGCGTCAGAGAAAGGGGCGGGGCTAAGCGCCGTGAACCCGGAAGTGGGTTCCGGCGGCAGCATGAATGATAGAGTATACCTGACACCCTGGCTGTAAACACTGTCTTTTCAGAGAAAACTCAGTGTTTACATTACAGCCTAGTGATAACTTCACTGGCCACTCCTCAGATAGCTGTTCGAGATCCTTCCTGGGTCATGGCTGCCTAAAATGCATCCAAACATTCAGTGTCTCCTCCCTCTGCATGCAGACACTGAACTTTCCTCATAGAGATTCACTGATTCAATTAATCTCTATGAGGAGATGCTGATTGGCTAGGGCTGTGTTTGAATCATACTGGCTCTGCCCCTGATCTGCCGTTTTGTCAGTCTCAGCCAATCCTATGGAGAAGCATTGTGATTGGATCAGACCACCACTTCTGATGATGTCAGCAGACAGCTTGTTTTTTCTGAGACAAACAGCATGCAGAGCTACAGCTTCAGGCTTGAATACAAGTACGATATTGCTATACTTATGGAGACATGAAGGGCCCAGGGGGGCTAGATGGTGGTTTTAACACTATAGGATCAGGAATACATGTTTGTGTTCCTGACCCTATAGTGTTTCTTTAACTTCTGTACAGCTTGTTTTTGTTTTGATTATCCTACATGGACATGTCCCTGTACTTGGGTATTGCACCTAGATCAGATTTGTCCATTGGCACCCATCTCTTCCCTAGTTGTGTTCCCTCTTTACCACTTCCCACTTCTATCTCCCTCTCTATTTGTGCCTATCTCTGCTTTTTTGTCTCCCACACATCTCCTCTCCTAGTTTACCTATCTCCCCCACTTATATCCTTCACGTACTTCTGTTTTCTCCATATCCCCATGTGTTTCTCGCTCCACCTGTTTTATATCTCTCCATTTCCCTTCTAACTTCAAGTGTATATTTCCATCCTAAACACCTTTGCATAGGTCCACACCCAACCTACATATTCAGTCTTTCCGCCCACCCAATGCGTATGTTTCTCTCTGCACCTCCATAACCCATATGTGCATTCAAAACAGTGTCACCTAATTATACTGCAACACAGCGAGAGAGAGATGGTGCATGCAACTTCCTCAGCTGCCACCTGGGGAGGACCTCCTACCCAACCAATAGTACTCTAGTGCTATAGCTACTGCTAATTGACTCTACCTTGATTACTTCTATTCCAAAAGAAGAACAAGCTATCATAAGATATCCAAAAGGTAGCATTGCATCAAATTACCATCTGATAAAAAACCTGAATGGCAAAAGTCGAACATGAAACTTTAAGTTCAAGTGTGAAATACTGTACAGTAGAATTATGTATGCACCATTAGCTTATTGTTAAATTACATATTTTTTTTTAATCTTGAAGACCTGAAGCTAACCGTTTTTACATAAGTTACTCAATACATTCATGTTCATTAATTAGAAATCAGGACTGAAGTCCTAAGCTTTTTCATGTACTTTATTACTTTACATATTTTAACAATGTTGCTTTTTTTATTTAATAATCTTTAACAATAATTTTTTACAGTAATCAACCAATGGAGCCTGGAATCACATCTTCTCAGTAGGGCAGGAAAGATGTAGGAGTAGGGAATAGAAAGAATTTGTTGCAGCCAGTAGTTGTGTGATGACGTTGACGTTGTCCATATGAACCGGTGAGGTTAGTAACATGAAATATTCCAGTAATAATATAACTATATAATTGATAATATTTTTATCATTCCATTAAAGAGCATCTTATTTTTATGAAATAAAGTATTTCAAGTTAAGAAACATGTGGCTTCTATGCTCCATCAGTTAATAATGGAAATGTACTAAATATATCCAACGCATATTTTGATTTTAAAGATTAAGATTACTGTAAAATTAACAATGAAATTAGGCTTCTTGCAAAAATAAGGAAATAGATTTCATTACCACCTGCTTCTGTTTGAATGACAATGACAAAGAAATTATCAGTCTATAAGTTTAATGGTAGGTGTATTTTAACAGTGAGAGACCGAATAACAAAAAAAAAAAAATCCAGAAAAACGCATGTCAAAAAAGTTATAAATTGATTTGAATGTCAATGAGTGAAATAAGTATTTGATCCCTTCATTTGATCATAGAGGTCAGATGTTTCTAGTAGTTGGCCACCAGGTTTGCACACATTTCAGGAGGGAATTTGTCCTACTCTTCTTTGCAGATCCTCTCCAAGTTATTAAGGTTTTCGAAGGCTGACGTTTGGCAACACGAACCTTTAGCTCCCTCCACAAATTTTCTATGGTATTAAGGTCTGGAGACTCCAGGACCTTAGTGTGCTTCTTCTTGAGCCACTCCTTTGTTGCCTTGGCTGTGTGTTTTGGGCCATTGTCATGCTAGAATACCCATTCACGACCCATTTTCAATGCCCTGGCTGAGGAAAGGAGGTTCTAACCCAAGATTTGACAGTGCATGGCCCCGTCTATCGTCCCTTTGATGCGGTGGAGTTGTCCTGTCCCCTTAGCTCGATTTTGGTCTCATGTGACCACAACACTTTCACCTAGTTCTCCTCTGAATCATTCAAATGTTCATTGGCAAACTTCAGATGGACCTGTACATGTGCTTTCTTGAGCAGGGGGACCTTGCGGGCGTTGCAAGATTTCAGTCCTTCACGGCGTAGTGTGTTACCAATTTTTGCTTGGTGACTATGGTCCCAGCTGCCTTGAGATCATTAACAATATCCTCCCGTGTAGTTCTGGGATGATTCCTCACCATTCTCATGATCAATGAAACTCCACAAGGTAAGATCTTGCATTGAGCAGCAGACTAACCGTTATTTTGTGTTTCTTCCATTTGCGAATCATCGCACCAACTGTTGTCACCTTCTCACCAAGCTGTTTGGCGATGGCATTGTATCCCATTCCAGCTTTGTGTAGGTCTACAATATTGTCCCTGGCATCCTTGGACAGCTCTTTGGTCTTGGCCATGGTGGAGAGTTTGGAATCTGATTGATTTCTTCTTTGGACAGGTGTCTTTTATACAAGTAACTAGCTGAGATTAGGAGCACTCCCTTTAAAAGAGTGCTCCTAATCTCAGCTCGTTACCTGTATAAAAGACACCTGGGAGTCAGAAATCTTGTTGATTGATACTTATTTCACTCATTGACATGCAAATCAATTTAAAACTTTTTTGACATGCGTTTTTATGGATTTCTTTTTTGTTATTCTGTCACTCACTGTTAAAATACACCTACCATTAAAATTATAGACTGATCATTTCTTTGTCAGTGTTCAAATGTTCAAAATCAGAAAGGGATCAAATATGTTTTTTGCTCACTGTATGTGATATTAAGCTTTCACAGAGAAATAACATGTAACAAGTATACTTAATGTACTTTCCAAAAACATAGGGAACACAGGGCACACACACCGCAAGTGCCATCCATCATAAATCCAATGCTTCTCATAGAGAAAGATGGAATTTATTATTACTCTATGAGAAGCATTATCGACATTTGATGTCGTCATGTTGTTTGCCTAACAGCCACTAGAAGCATGTTTTACACAAAATGTAAACCAAAACATCACTCTTTTACAATGAAGAACAAGCATTTATGCATCAAAACCACCACATTAATATGTTTTAGACCCAGTGTATCCATTTAACCAATAAAGAGAAAATCAGTTAGAAGTCTTATACATCTCATAAGCAAAGTCTTTCAGGTAATCCTTTGTTGTGAAAAGATTGTTTTAAACTTAGGAAAAGTTTTCCTAAACTTAGGAAATGAACTGCTAAACACTATGTACGGAAAGGTACAGTGGTAGAAATACTGTTGGTACAGCAGCACCGGGGTGCACAAGCTACAGGGGGCCCATGTTGTGGCCCACACACTTAGGATCACCCAATGAGCATGTCTGTACTTAAGTGTGTATCAATGTCAGTGTGTTTGTGTATGTGTGCATGTGTGCATACATCAGAGCATTCAAATGCCAACAAGCACACTGCTGCATTCAAAAGGCAAATACTACACACAAGTAAAAAAATCTTGCACCAGGGCCCTCTCTACATTAGTTCCACCACCACTGATTTAGTAAATCAGTAAGGTATGAATAAATTGGTTAAAGAGTTGAATATTGCTTGGATCAAGCTCGTGTTACATATAATTAATAAGAGTAAGACCATGTTTATTTTTTTGTCATGTGAAGGTGCCTCTCCTTTGATTTGAACAGTTTAAATACAAGATGTCAAGGAAGTTAAATTTACCTTAAATTGTTCTAATGTACAGAGGGAGTTTGATTACCATCACATGAGGTCCAAATAGATATGCTGTTAATCCATAGTTAAAATACTGCTGAGCAAAGGTTCATACTCTTTGTTCAATTTGCTCTTGACTCCTGAGGATGTGACTTTGTATTTAATTACAAATTCCCCCAGGAAAAATTGCCATAATTGTACCTACTTGGAGCCAACATGGTCAGTAATCCCTATTAAGGTATAAAAATCTATCACTGCTCAACTAATGGAGTAAGTGCAACAAGATACAAGAACAAAGTTACCCTAGAGAATTCACAAACTAATCTATAAGAAGGAATGCTATAATCTATAAGAAGTAATGTTATTAGCAGCGGTACACATGAGAAACAATTACCAGTGTGCATAAGAAATAGTAGTGTTGAACTGAATACTTCAGTATGCAAGTTTTCTGAAATACTAAAAGCAACCATCCTTTTTTTTTTTTTTTTTTAAAGTTGAACATGTGAACAAGGACGGCTGGATTTCTTGAAACAAAACTTCTAATGTACCACAGCTGAACTGCACATAGTGTTCATTCCACACGCTCCAGATCCTCGATACAAGTAATAATAACCCTGAGGAAAAAGTAATAGAAGTTGAACAATAATCTACAAAATGTGTGGCTACATATTGTGGTTGATTGTACAGCAATAACTGCCTAGTCTATGTCATTTTAGTGTGAGAAAAAAATCCCTTTTAGTCACTCTTTAGTGCAGATACCCACTTCCACTTGTCAAGGTCACCAAAAGTCTGTTAACAGCCAGGAAGAAATTAAATCAGTGTCACAGTATGTCTTAGGAGATACATTGCTAGCCTACCTCTGCATTTTGTTATTATTACCTAGAGTAGAAATAAAACAACATTGGCGAGATAAAATGCATACCTTAATTGTGTTTAAAAAGTCGTAGCCAGTAATACTATCTGCACATACAATCAGTTAATCTGGGACTCACAAAAGATAAACAGTTGAGAGGATCAAATGGTCATCTTTACTGACCGAATTTAGCAAATGTATAGATGAAATTATATTTTGCCTTGTGGGTGAACAAAACCTACCTTCAAACTACATAGATGTAGTAAAGATCTTTCATGCTTACCTGTTCTCCCCAATCCAGCCCCCAACTGTTCTTGATAGCCCAAAAAGGTTTCCCATCACCTACATTAAAACAAACGTAAACTTCCATTCGAAAAAAAATATTATTTATGCTTATGTAAATGGTTAAAAATATAACTCACGTTCACCATAGCCCACAAGGAGTACAGCATGGTCAATCATTCCGGGAAGACAAAGTATACGGAATGGATGAGAAATGCCTTTTCTGTAGAACTGATTCAAAAGATGTAAAAAGAGAGAATTTATCAAACAAAGAAAACAGACATATCTATAAAGATGAACCCCACTAATCCTAAATTTACTTTGAAAATAAAACATATGATATGCTAAATAAAGAATACACTATCAAATGAAGAGCCACAGTGTTAAAAAAAAAAAAAATACAAAAAAAAAATTATGTAGTGGCATAAAATCAAATAACTTTTTTTTTTTAAACAAACCAGTCCAATGTGTTCAGGTGTTCAGGGCAGTCCAACTGTGGTTAAGCACATGAAATGTGCTGCCTCATGAAAATCCTTACTGCAATTTGCCTTGCGTTCTCGTAATTGCTCGTAGTGGGCATAAGCCTCCCCTCCCCCCTCAAAAAC